CTTTGTTCTTCTCTATCTACTTCTACATACCAAGCAGTTTCAATATCCTGCTTTCTGCACACCATCTACTCTTCAGGGCCATGCGAACTTTGCAGCAGTCATGTAGCCCTCCCTATTTGGATTAATTTTACAGTATCATGTCCCTTGTCGTTCAACCATTCCTCTGTCAGGCTCTCTTCAGCGGGGTTTGTCCAGGATGGCTCAGGAACCCCAAGAGTTAGAGCTATTGGGTTCCTCTCCTGCAGCTTACTGTGTACACTTCGCTGTGCTCCCAAAACCTTCTAACACTGATGAATACCATGTTATAAAACAACACCATGGGGAGTTCACTGTAAGGAGGTGGTGTCAGAACACGAGCCATATCAGGGCAGACAACCCATTTCTTTTTAATTTGTGGGGATAGAGCATGGGCAGGAATTCTGTCCCGGCTTTTAGGAGGGCCATGTACAATCGGGAGGCTGTCCGTATTGACACCCAACCAAACTATGACTGGTGAATGGATGCACAAAAACAAATCAGCAAACAAAATTCAAAAGAGGAGTGCAGACAATCTGGACCCAAATTGTAACTCAGAAATTTTTCATTCGGCCAAGTCAAAAAGAGTTGCTGTGTCCCTGTTTCTTCCATGGGTCGCAGCAGCCAAAGCTCTAGGTGAATTGGGTCACCTAGAGTGCTGGGTAGTCAAACAGGCAAACTTAACATCTGCCGCCATCAGCTCCCTCCTAGAAGACGAGGAAATTACCAGACAGGCCACGCTGCAAAATCATGCTGCAATAGATTTCCTTTTGTTACTGCATGGACATGAATGCAAGGAATTCTAAGGACTTTGTTGCATGGACCTGACTTCAAAAGCTCCAAACATCCATGCGGCCCTTTGAAGCATGAACAGCCTGATTGGACAAGTGAAGCAAGAATCTGAGGATTGGTTTAAATAACTGTTTAAGGACTGGGGATTCACGGGGTAGTGGACATCTATTGTTAGTTCAATTTTGTTACTCCTTGTTATTTTGTTCCTTGTAACCTTGGCGTTCGGGATTCTGCGTCACTTGTTTTTCAAAGCTATCAAGGGTCTCATACATTCTACCTCAGAAGTCAAGCACACAGAGCTGGCTAACCTGAGGAGGCCTGACTATGCCACCACCTGTATGTGGTGGGAAACCCATACTCAGGGTTGAACAGAGTCCAGTGAATTCCTGTAACATTGTTTAACAAATAAGGGGGAGGTGTTACAGTGAGCCCATGGGCACTCTATTTCCCCTTCCCCGGGACCCTGTGACTCTGATCAAGATAACCCTGGACCCCTCCTTCCTGCTCCAACGGGGTTGGCAGAGAGCCAGGGAAGCCCACCCTGTCCAAAGTCTATATAGACCCCTGACATTTCCTGTTTGTCCTCTTTGCCCCACTCTCCACTTGGACACCACAGAATAAAGAGAGCTGAACCAACATATATTGGGGTAAGAGCCTCTTTTGGAAATCTTTGCCATCTGCTGATATTCCTCCCCTTCACAGCCTGCTTACCTCTGAGCTAGCCTAGGATATTTTGAGGGGCTGTGCAGGGAGGGAACATCAGATGACTTGCTATCCTGGGTTAATTAAGTGCAAGTCCCTAATGAAACAGTGCCTTTGGCACATCTGTTTTAGCATCATCCCAAAAGGTGATGCTGATCTTTATGTCAAACCATTAAGATGTGTGTAAAACACATTCACTTTGTGTTCACAAGTAGAGCATGTACCCCTGGTGAGCAATAGATGAGTCAGGTGTGCTTCATGTCTTTGATTTTCATTTTGTTTACCTTTGTTCATCTTGTATCTGCTATACAGTTCCATTTTTTCAGAGCCAATTGTCTAATTCAATATTTTTATAGTGGTTAGTACAATAGGCTGTTTCTCTTTGGCGAGTTTCAATATAAATTTTCAAACAAAGAACTAAAATAGGTAATTGACTATGACACTTACTAGAACAATATCCAGCTCTTTGCAAATCATGTTTTCAAAGATAGAACCGGATTGTTGGATTGTCTCATTCAAAATAACATCCTAATTCCTTTCTGAATTCTGAATCAGACAACTATGGGCATCCATGTCAAACAGCAGGGAAAAATTTATTGTTTCTGCAGTGAAATGTGAAATTGTGTCAGATCTCCTCCTTATTTTGGAATCATGAAAATGAGTTTTCAAATAAAATTTTAGTTTCTTTGCATTTGCTTTTAAAAAAAAGTTGTTGGTATTTTTTTTTTTTCAAGAGAAACTCAAAGCTTCCTATTCTGAAATTAAAGCTTCCAGTGTTTCAGTGGGATGCCAACCCATATTTGAACTGGATTGAATTATGTTTTTTGCTCTAATGACAGCTTGTTCTTGTACACAATGTACAGGAAAGCTATTTCTGTTCACTAAGAAACATACTGAAATGTGGTGGGTTCTGTTTCTGTTTGTATATTTACAGTTCATTAACGCAGGAATAGTTGGGTTTTGTACTCTTTTTTTTTTTTTCATGTTAAGGGTGTTATGTTCAGCAGTTGTAGATCTGCTTATTGAATACTTACAGTTTGGACCAGTTTTAAAAGATGTTCACACTGCAGAGAAATCTTCACCTTTGACTGTCAGTTATGGGATAATACGAGTGAGGAATGGAGAAATAATTACTATGAAGAATTAATTTTGTCAGGGTTTGCTATTTTCCCTGAAAATGAGAAGAAAAACACTTACAACTCCTACATGAAAAACCATATTGAGTTGGCAGAATACTTTCATATAACTAACTTCATACTGGTTTTATTATTTGCAGTTTTAAATTATAAAATTTAGCAGAAACACCCCTTGATTTTGATCATTAAGGTCAAGTGATGAGACCTTGGCCCTTTTACTCAGATGTTAAAATGATTTACAGAAAATGATACTGAGCTATGGAGTTGATACCAAGCAAGGTTTTTTTTCTGCCCTAATGTGCTGCACCTCAGTGTATTAAATCTAAGTTGCTTTCAGTTGCCAGTGTTCTGGGAAGGTCGTATGGGCAGTCCTGTTCCTGCTGAAGCAAATTGTAATGCAAATGCCTTTAAGAATTCTGTAAGAGGATACTGTGCCTTGATTAACCTCTCTTGTTTATTTATATCTTTGTTGGTGAAATGAAGATGTTATCCATATTAAAAATAAAGCCAGTATTGATCAAATAGTTAAAGGGTCTCTTAATACTTTGTAACACTTACTAATAAATTATTTTGGCTTTTACTAATAAATTATTTTGGCTTTTTTTGTCCTACTCTCAGAACAAAAGCCTCAAAAACAAGCTCTTGTCAGTAAACAAGCTTTGTGGTATGCACGCAGAAGAGGTAAGGAAGATTCTTCTCTGTTCTAAATCTATGTACCCAAAAAAATTGCATCAAAGTATTTTGTACTGAGGTTCTGGTATATTATATATATACACAAGAATATATATGAGTACAGAATATATATTATGCTTATATGGTGAGTGTTCCTGAAGTACTGTCATCCCAATTTATTTTTGTGACTTCACAAGAAGCAGCTCAAATATATTAGAAAGCAAGTTGCAAACTCAAGTTTTAGACTAATAAAATAATCTAGGCGTGCCTATGATATAACTCTATAGATATATGCATCTATAACGTATATAAAACTGATTTCATTTACATGAACTCCATGTCTACACTAAGCCAGGAATTGCCAAAGGCCTGTTTTGAAATGAACAACCTATTACTACTGATTCTGTTTCCTTATTTCAAGGAAAAAAAGGTCCTATTTTTGGCAAATTCCTCAATGTAGAAGTACCTGCACGCATATAAGCATTCCCTTTATTTTTCTTTTAGTTTTAAAAAAAGTTATTGCATGTGAATCTGATTTACTCACATTGCTTTAGTCTGGGTTTTTTGCATATATAATTTCTCTTAAGGTTATTGCACCTTGCCAGAAAGAATCCAAAGCATAAACAATTTCCTCAGTACTAAAATTTTCCTAATGATGATTGAAAGCATTTTCTTCATTAGAGTCTCTGCCTTTTGAGATCAATACTTAGAAAGTCAAGTTTCTCGTAAATTCTCAAAGGTAGGAAATAATAGGATTAGAAATATTTTTCTTAAGTCTTTCAAAATCAAAATTGTTTCAAAATATTTTGCTGGACTGATCTTGGCTATTAGTTTCAGATTTTACAGAATACCATAACCATTTTGGCCTTACTATTTAAACATATAAAGCAGGTTCTAAAATTTTAGATTCCTTAGATTCATTCAGCCTTCCCAAAAGTCTGTCACTGAATTTGACTGCATCAATTGGTAAGAAATAAAATCTTTTAAAAAATTCCAACTTAAGATATACTACTTCTGTAATATATTATGTTTATGGAATGCTCTTTCAGTAAATGTGAAACAGACTTCTAATCCATTCCAAGGACTTCAAAACACTTGGCATTAATTAATTCAAGAAAATGTATTGTGTATCAGTTGGGATTGTGAATTTTATTAAAAACAAATTATTACTTTGAGAGGATTCTTGGATAAATGGTGAAATAATGTTCCTTGAATAGTTGAGTTTAGTACAAAAAATCAATTTCTATTTCTTTTGTTTAAATTAAAAAAAATAATATATAGACTACTACTTAGAATTATTTTAAGGATATATTTAGCAATATATAAAGTTAATATAAGCTTAAACTGATATAAATAAGCATAACTATGCCTGTACTTTCAAGGGCAGGGTTACAAACTGAGAAGGTAGATCCAAACTAGTTCCTTTGGATAACACCTGGAACACCCTGATCTTTACGAAGACTTTTATAAGCCTATGGAGCCTTTTTGCTTCTAAGAATAAGATTGTTTACTTTGAAGTTGATGCCTTCAGTTATGCTTCATGGCAAGTATTAATAACAGCTCATGTCCAAAATGTGTAAGCCCAGCTGCTGTTCTTTACAGTAATAACTCAGGTATGTGCTTTAGTTGTGTGCCATTTTGCATTTTCCTCAGTACTTTTGCTTGGTTTGACTTGTGAACTGGAAAAGAAATCGACAATTATTTGGACGGGGGCATTTTATATTTTAAATTTTATCTAGATTCTGCTGTTTCCAGAATTCACAAATTTTTTTAATATTTATAATTTTAAAAACCCAAAACCTGATTTGATTATCCTCATTTCAGCCAAAAAAGATCCAAGCCCAACTGAAAGTGCTTCGTTATGGGAAAAAGGGTTTGATTTTTAAGGTAAGTTTTATTTCATTATAGTTAGCTAAAGTATTTATACAGCATTGTAGTGAAGTAGGAATATGATAGCTGCCTTTAATATTGCAGTTCTCAGGAATAAATTTGTTCTGAAAAGAACTCAAAACATCAAGACAGAATACCATAATGCATTTTCAGAAATATAATATACTTATATCTATATTTTTGTACTTACGAAAAGCAAAATTCTAGGTTACTGCTGATGAATAAAACCTGTTGCCCTATTCCATACATTCTGTAACATCTTTCATCTTTTTAATTGAATGATATAATATTTTACAGCTGCTTCTTCTTTTTCCTTTAATTAGCACTCTTCCATGGCAAAGTCAACTATTGTTCACATTTAAAGTAAATCTCTGTGTTCATAATAAGCTTGAGCAATGTAGAGTTCCTTAGGTCTGAAGATTTAAGAAAAAAGAAACATCTGCTGCTAAAACAATCCAAATCAATAGTCTGCTCTAGCTAGCACATTTTAAAAAATAATAAAAATTTTTAAAATAAAGGAGGGCAGGACAAAACATAAAGACATTGCTGAAGGGCATCTAGTCCTTGTTAACACAGGGAGAAGCTAATACCTGTTAAAAGGAAGAGGAGAGAGATGTGGGTCATCTGACTGATGACTGTTAGTGGAGTAGTCCTTTTATATATTCCCAGCAAATAGGATAGACATTAAGTAGTCATCTTCCAAGTTACTAGACCTAGAATTACTTACAAGTCATTCATGTCAATATGAGTTCCAGATTGTCTTCTGGAAGTGTTTAACTCTGCTGTTTCTCTGTTGTATATACAGTGCTGTGAATATGTAATGTAAATACAGAGAAATACAGAGTAATATAGTGGGGCATTAAAAAGACAGTGTGATTTCTGTGCTTTTTTTTTTTTTTT